AAAAAATAAAAAATTATTTGCACCAAGCATGCAGAGTGTTCACTTCCCACATCTGTGTCTCCTTCCACTTCAGTTACATAAGTTAGGCCATAATGAAGTTAGGCAGAGAAAAGTTAAGCAATTGCCAAAGATTGCATAAATTTGTGGAGGAATTAAAACCACGTGTCAAAGTTAAGATGATCTATTGTGGAAAGTTTTTAATTCAATATTTCACCTCTGCAAGACCAGTAAATGATTTTTAGGTTATCCATGTATATATTAATATTTACTTTTTTGTTAAATGCTGTTACACATAAGTTTAGTCATATGAACTTATAGGGATAGATGTATTCACATTAGAAATCAGATTAATGATGATACTATCTCCAGTTAATCCCTCTCAACATTAAAAGCAGCAGGCCAAACGCACCATGGCATCTTCTTATGCCAAATGTATCCACAACAGTGCAGTAACATTTCTGAACTTCACCCATATGCTGATCTATTACTGTAAGAATCTTTAGGGTATAAACTATGTCGTTATCATCTCTAAATCCTTGATCAGTAGCAGAGTGTTGATTACATCTCATCATGTTGTTCTTTTCAACACATATGCATCTAAATTGTACTGTATTATTTTGTAGTTATGAGAATACATGTTACTCTGTACTTGTTCTCAACTTATATAATATATTTAAATATTTCTTCTATAGGGAACTAAAACTCCCAGGAATTATGTCTTTCATTTTTGGGGGATTTCCCCATCCACAAATATACCCTCACTTATTACCCCAATATGTAGCACATATTGGAGGTTCTACATAAAACGGATACTCAATAAATACTTACCAAAATAACTAATCACAAAGAAAATGTTTCTTGGAGAGAGTAGAGAGATGAAGGAACCACTAGTTATGTTGAGTATATTTATCTCCTTAGAATATTAAATGTGTTCTTTCAACTAAATATATTAAAGTTGACAAAGGTTAAGATTAAGAAGTAGTGGGGTGCCTTTACTTTTTATGGTACAAAAACATGTAAGTGGTCTTATCAGGTATACAATCTAAAAATACTTTAGAATTTCTAGCCCACTTCAACCAACAATATTATGAAGACATCTTCTGCATTAGAAAACAAAAATACATCTTATTCTTGGGAAAATGCATCCTAGAACAATATTCTCTATCTATGTCAATTACAAGGCCAATCATGTCTACAGCCCCTTCCTGAGCTACCCAGAACATGTGGCCTCTTTTTCTCTCTGTCTGCAGCTTGTTAGTGGTCATTTAACCCAAATGCAACACTTACTAGCCAGAGACCTATGAGTTAGAATGTAAAGCTTTGCCCAAACAAAAATAATAGCTAAAACTTGTGCCACTCAGATTCTCTTTTTCCCTTTTGTCTATCTCTCTGTCACTTTCTCAGATTTAAACTTGAGAATTCAGAGCATACAAAAAGATAGCAAAAAGAAGCTACGATACTGAGTACAAACCACAAAACATTATGGCAAAGTGAAGCTAGGTAGAAGAAGAAACTGCAAAACAATAAAAAGAAAGAAGTAAAACTATATTCACAAAAGTACACGAGTACAAGTACACAAGTAGTAGAGCAATTGCTCTAATTTTTAGCTCAGAAAACATGATCACTATATGGAAAAAGAAAGAAGTAAAACTATATTCACAAAAGACATGATCTTATAAATAGAAAAATCTTAAGGAATACACTAAAAAAATTAGAACAATTTTTTTAAAAGTTCAGCAAGATTGCAAGATACAAGATCAACATTTAAAACATCAACTGTAGGCCTCTTGTTACAACAGGGGGCCTGTTCGTCGTCTGTGGAGAACATATCTTGCTCTTGTTCTTCCTCAATAAACCTCGTTTTTGTGCTTACCTTGAAAAAATTAGAAAAAAATAAATAAAAAATCAATTGTATTTCTATACACTAGCAATTAACAAGCCAAAAATGAAAGATAGAAAACAATTGCATTCATAACAGCATCAGAAACAACTCAAATGTCCATTAACTGATGAATGGGTAAACAAAACGTGATATGAATGGAATGTTATTGAGCAATAAAAAGGACCAAAGAACTGATGTATGCTGCAATATGGATGAACCTCAAAAACATTATGCCATGCAAAAGAAACTAGACACAAAAGACCATACATTATATGATTCCATTTAAATGAAATCTTCAGAATAGGCAAATCTATAGAAAACAAAAGTAGATTAGGCTTGGAGGGGGTGAGAAGGGGAGTGACTTCTAATTGGTACAAGATTTCTTTTTTAGGGGGTGATTAAAATGTCCTAAAATTAGATTATGGTGATGGTTTTACAACTCTAACAATATACCAAAACTCATTGAATTGTACACCTAAAATGAATGATCTTTATGACATATAAATCACATATCAGTAAAGCTATTAAAGAATGTACATTTATCCAGACATGATAGAAATTTATTTAGCATTTATTAAAGTCCAAAATAGATTTTTAAAAAAGGAAAAAGGAAGAAAAGAAACTGAAAAGCTTTGAGGTAGTAAAATATAAGCCAATTAAAAGGGAGACCAACAGAAATCCGACCCTCAAAAATTTGCTTAGTCCCATAAATACAGAGCACTGAAGCAAAGACCCGCTCACAAGCTCAGAAGCTTCTAGAGTTGCCTAGGATTCAGAAGGGCCTCCCAACTGCAGTTTTTGTCTTTATAACGGCTGGCTCTATCAAATTTCCTGGTCTTCCTGAAGCCCAGCTATGCAATGTTTCCTGGATTCTAGGGCACACATACATAGCCTTACCAAAGAATCTTCCTTATCATACAAGCCTATCCAGCTATCAACAATAAGCAACATATTTTCTTCAGTCTCTGCCCAAGAAGCCAGTACTCCAAGTAAAGATATTGGATGTGAACAGTTTACTTTGATGCAGAGCTTAGAACTGAACAGTAGTTTGGTTCTTCACAAATCTTAGCTTGGCCATTAAGCAACAGTACCTTCCAACTCCTTCATTTTGTGGGATTTGTAAATTTCCCACCATTTCAAACCTTTGGAATAAATAATACTTGGAAGGAAGGAAGGAAGGAGGAATGGAAGGAAGGAAGGAAGGACGGAAAATTCCAATCATCCCCACTGAGTCTCCTCCCCTGAAAAAAATCCACCTAGACTTCCAAATCGCTCAAACAAACGAAATTCCAGAAGTTTGAAAGTAAGAAGAAAGTTTGAACTATATACTCTGATATTTCAATCCCAACTTTAAA